CATGGGTACATCAACATCATGCCAGGTGATGGATAAGAAAAGATTAGCCTCAAACATGGCTGTGCTAGTAGTAGGTGAGGTGTGGTGATGGTGCAGCAGATAAGACACATGCTTTTGGTGTGAGAGACCCGGGTTCCCAGGTTCGAATCCACTGTGAGACACCAATGTGTCCCTGAGCAAGACACTTAACCCCTAGTTGCCCAGAGGCGTGCGACCTCTGACATATATAGCAATTGTAAGTTGCTTTGGATAAAAGAATCAACTAAATGAATAAATGTAAGAGCTGTATTACAGGCTCCAGGTGTGTTGTAGATGAGCAAGTGGATAACAAGACATCAATTAAGGGCCTATTCTAAAACCTCTGGAGGTAAATACTAAACTGTAGAGCTGCATATAAATTAAAGGGCCACTGCTGGAACCACGATACTTAGTGTATATACAGTAAAATATCAACACTTCTGGTAGAAAGCAATATAAAGGTGGTCTAATGCAGCTCTTAGAGCTAATTTAGATCATAATTTCTTAAATTATGGGTCTTTCTCTGCTTGTTTTCCCTCCCTGCATCTCTCCCAGCATTATACCAATGTCACCCACGTTTGTCCAAATGGGAAACCTCTCACTGCTTATTTTTTACTAGCCTGGTTTAATTGTGACCTATATTCCCTAATGGAGCAGAGTTAAAGGGCCAGTGTCTGGGTCATTTAACATTCGGTGCAGCAGGAGAACAAGGCTGCTCTGTAAGTATTACTATTCCTTTATGTGGGTGTGTTTGTTTATGAATGAGCGAGTGTTTACTTGTGTGTGAAAGAGCAAGTGACGGCAGGATTACTAAGTGCAAGCACACACCTTGTTGAGCATTGTGTGGTCATTGTTTTATCCTGTAGTGAGCTCTGCGGAGCCTTGAGAGTTTATTTAAATACAAATATTGATAAGGTTCCTTGACTGACTATGAAATCACCTGGCTGCTTCGTATCTGGTTGCTTATTTTGGGCCAAAACGGATTATTATAAAAAAAGAGTCTCCCTTCATCTAAAGACATAAATCACAGGTCACCATAGGTTCCAGCAGCCTTGAGGGGGTTACAATACATTTAATTTCAACACATGTTTTATTTAATGGGTAAATCACTGTACATTCTAACTAATTCTTAATATATCTTGGTTGATTTGGTGACATATGTGTTTCCTGGTGTTAAACAGCAAGAGTAGTTTAATACTACAGGTCCCTGAGTTCTTTTGGAAATCATTCATGGTTTCAGAAAACACACTATATGCAGCTACTTTTCACAAATACAACGGAAGGAGTATTGGTTTATCGGTTTACAGTGCAGCCCAACAAACTTACATTGTTTGAATAAAGAAGTCAATCAATAATTGGCCTTTTTCCATCATGCACTGAGGCTGATCCTTCTTTTTGCATTACTCCTCTTTGATCTGCTGACAAAGAAATGCTGAGAAGGACCAAGTCTCGTTTTCTAGACGTGATTTGATCCTTGTCATCGCGATCCTCTCTGACAAATTATTTGTGTTTCCTGTGACTGCTTCAAAATAAAAGCCAGCCCATGGCAGCAACAGTCCAATGTTGTGTTTGCATTAGCAGTATACAGCTAGGACACAGTGTTAGGCGAGTGAACAGTGAGGCTGTTATCAGTGAGATAAAATTAAAAACAGTGACGCTGGATTACACACCTCTCGTTTCCTGTTATTCACATGTGAAATTTTCTTTCAAAGTACATTCCAGTATGTGTTGGTCAACAGACTCTCTCTATATATACCAATATACAACCAATAACCTTTATAATGGCTGTGTTATATTTAGGTGTCCCAGTTCCTGGGCCCTGGTGTTGTGCAAGCTGGTTCACTGTCAGCTACTGGAATCCCTAAAACAAAATTAGCCATCTCTTTAATGTTTTTAGTTACATTTCCTATTATGACAAATAAAAATGTCGGGTGTGAAAAATATCTTTTATGCCCCCAAATCCCAAACCTTCCTCCCAGCTCACTGTTGATATTTTCAAAACTCAACAGAGTTCACAGTTGATTTACAAAACCTCAGCAGTTCGTCATGTGTCATGTGCTTCTGGTGTTTCACTCACCATCTGTATGTCTACCATTTCACTGTGTGTGTGTGTGTGTGTGTGTGTGTGTGTGTGTGTGTTGAGTGTGTTTTTATTAGACAGCTGCATGTGTCCCAGAGTTTCACCACAGACATGCTTGACCTCCTAAACACAGTCACAAATGCAGACACACACTCTGAGATGATACATGTCTGAGGGTGTGAATGTTACTTAAAGTTGACTTGTTTGAGCAGCGTTTAAAGAACTTTTATACATCAACACTGATTCCCAGTATAGTCTATAACTTATTCGGCTGCAGTGATGGAGACAACTACAAGCACTGACGCTTTGATGTGTGCATACAATTTGAAAAGTCCAGAGAAGCCAAATAAATAAAACTCCAATCTTATTTGTTAGTGCCTGGATGTAAGTACTACCTGACAGCTTTAATTCAGGGAATTCTGAATCCTCAAAGTTCTTTATACTGACAGGAGGAGTGCTCACAAATTGCTGACTTTTACCTATCATAATAGAGCTATGCACTAAAACGTCTAAAACCAACTTAATTTAGACTAATAAAGTCTAAATTAAGTTAGTGCTGGTGCTGGGTAGGTAGCAGGCAGAGGGTTTATCAGAGCTGCCTGTTTCTTGATGAGAGTTTGTGGGAAGGAAAACCAAAATAATAAGCTGATAGAGGCCAAAAAGCTCCTTAGAGCCGATGGGAACTGCAGAGTTGTGTGAGAGTTCTTTGTTGGTTTATCACTATGAGTCAGCCTTTCATTCCACCTTTATTTATATTAAAAATATTTATTGAAGTTAACTCTGTATTTATTATCCAGGTGGTGTCTTTATTGTTGCTACTGGCCTGATTTAATCTGCTGTGACAGATTTTTGGAGAAGAGTTAGCTAATTTCCAAGAATGATACAAGCAAAGCAATTTTTGTATTTGTTGCTTGATCAAAGTTATTTTAGTCACTATGTCTGTTAGAGAAGACTCAAAGCAGAGTTGACTTCTATATCTGATTGGTTCCAACCTGTGTGTGTGTGATTTTCATGTTTTTATATCCTGGTGGGGACTTTAACCTAAATGCAGACTAACTGATGGGGACTTGAATAGAGTTCCCCAGAGGTAGAGACTGGTTTTTGAGGGTTAAGACTTGGTTCAAGGGTTCAGGTTACAATAAGGTAAGGTGTAGGATTAAGTTTAGGCATGTAGTTGTGATGGTTAGGGTAAGGGGCTAGAGAATGCATTATGTCCCCATGGGGATAGAGGAACAAATGTGTGTGTGCACTGCTTTGTACACATTTGGTCAGGACCAGGGTGACTCATATTGTGTGTGTGTGTGTGTGTGTGTGTGTGTGTGTGTGTGTGTGTGTGTGTGTGTTAAACCAGTGTAATCAGAGCACCATGATGTCCCGGGCTTCCAGAACATCGTCTCTCAGCTCAGTGACTCATTCATTGAGACTGAGGATGAATCTATCATTGCTGTTTCCAACTGACTGACTCTCCATGCCATGGAGACACAGTCTGGGTTGTCTGGTTTCTGTTGTAGATCTGAAACAATTGCAAGAATTAGTCTTGCAACAAACTCAACTTTTCACTCACATTCGCAGATTATTTCCACAAATGCTAACTGTAGCGTGGTTGCATGCTATGTAAGCATTACTCTTAAAGGTCCAGTGTGTAATATTTAGGAGGGTCTATTGACAGAAATGCAATATAATATAGCCTACATAACTATGTTTTCAGTGGTGTATAAAGACCTTACATAATGAATGAAGTTATGTTTTTATTACCTTAGACTGAGCCATTTCTATCTACATTCACCGCGGGTCCCCCTTACATGGACTTTGCTATTTTGCGCCGCCATGTTTCTACAGTAGCCCAAATGGACAAACTACTCTACAGAGTACAGAGAAATTTAGACAAATGGCCCACACGTATTATTTAGCACAAGAGCCGACAGAGCGTGTAGGCCACCGTCGCTTGGAAAGGGAAGGGGGAGTGGTGACTGATGGTGCTTTTATGTGGTTTCGGAATAATTAGAATCTTTTTCTCCTTAAATCTTTATTGCAAAAAGAGAAATAAAGTGTACATGGGACATAAAGAAATATACAGAACAATGATCGTGCAAAATCACGTATCGCATACACATATTTTGCAAACATGTCATTTGTAATATGGTTATAAAGGTTAGTTTGCTGTCTGCAAAGATGTCTGCGTGATAGATGTCTGCGTGTTGTTTATACACTCTGATAATGCACAAGTAATCCAACACGTCTTTGTAGTAGCATTCATGTTGATTCTACACTCCAACTTGTATGCGCATGAACACACACTGAAGTTGAAAGAATGACTTCAGAACTTGAAAGAAATGGGACCATCCGAGGAGCATGTGAATGCACCGTGAGCCGTGGGTTGCAGTTCGCAACCCTCACTACTAGGTGCCACTAAAACTTACACACTGAACCTTTAAAGTACAACTGATAGGCATACGTTTGTACATTTTGGTGCCCGGACTTACAGTCACCAAAAAAGACCAGCTGATCAAACACATTGCCCCAAGTTGCATGGAATTTCTTCATATTGCCTCATGTCTTCTCACTGTATTTCCAAAAATGCTACTTTTCATGAGCCAAGACAAACAGCCCCATGCATTTTTTTCAGATAATCCAATGTTCTTTTTAGCTTAAGAGGTAGGACATTTTTCTAACCCACAGAAGTAAACTTCATCTTTCAGTTTATCTAAAGAAGTTCAAAGTATGTTGTACAATACAGACTGTAAAGTATTAGCAGCTGTTCCCAAAGGTGCCACAGTTTATGACCGTATTTGGAGTATTTACTCACAAACTTCTACAGAAAACAGACCTTACAATGGAAAATAATTATTGTACTGAATAAAATAACAATTTCTGTCCCCATGTATCTCTTCATGTTTTCCAGCCTTTCTCAGGTGACCAGATGGACGACTTCAGCAGTGAATTATTCAGCAGTTTCTTTGATGATCATCTATTAGAGCGGCCCTTACTGGCAGACAGACATTCACCTTTACACATGGACATGGACAGCAGCCCAGGTCAGCTCCTCTTTTTATTAGGAAAAATGTTAATTTAAACAGTATACATGCCACTTACATTACAGCTCCTCCTACGAAACACTGTAAGAATGATTATATGAAATGCCTAACACTGCAGTCCAACGCAAATGCACCAGGCTTTGCATCACAGTGGTCCCATTGTGATCACCTCCTTGTTCTTCAGAAAACCTCAAGCAATGCAGCAGTTGCTCCACTCCTCAGCCAATGCATCGGTAGAAAAGACCCATATCCGTTATCGTATTTGGTTTGTTTAGCCAAAACTCGGCATGGAGACCAACTGTATCAAGTTATAATTTCTCAACCACATTAACTCTGGCTCGGTCCTCCACAGAGAGGTCAAATTCCACCATGTTAGAGCCAGTTTCTTTTGCCAAAGGCTGTGACTTCCAAAACGCCTGCCATTAGGAGGCAGAAGGAAACACAGACGTCTTCCCCTCACCTGTCAGTCTGTGAGGACAAGGTACCAAGTTGTTGGTTCAGGCTACAACTGGCTGAGCTACTACTCGCAAACTTCAGTTCCAGAGCTGAGAGATGAACAGGCCGTGGTACCGCTGCTCAGAGTTATTGTACTCTAGCTTCTTTCAGTCTGTTTGAAGCTGTCAGAAGGATCAACTTGCACCACCACTTATCACACTCAACAAAAGATTTGGAGGGAGGGATAAAAAGCATTATGGCTTTCATGTTTTAGAAGATAATACATTTTTTTTTCATTTACACCAACTGCATGGATGAAATTCTGACTATCCAGGAAAAATGCTTTACATATAACATATGTACAACTATGCGAGTTCCAGCTTGATATCTTGTTTGACTGTCTGACTTACAGTGAGAGGAGCAGTGTCAAGTTTTACATGCACTCACGATGGTCACTAATTAAGGCATTAAAGTCAAAATACATACATCACTGATGTGAGAGGAATGAGAACGCTCACGTAACGCTCAGGTGCTAAAAATTGCGCGAGCACTGTGGCTGTGTCTGTAACGGTCCTGTCTGAATTAAACCGTAAAGAACACCATACCAGGACACGCTTGTCTGAATGACAAAAAGCCAGCACTTTACCCCACATGGATGAAGACAGTAATGTTATATTTTCCATGAATGAACAGGGCTTTTAAATCTCACAGATATTCAAGCAGAGCACAGCTACTCTCTGAGTGAGGACTCCGCCCCCCAGAGCCCAGCCCTGTCAATCAAAATGGACCAAGAGTCTGGTAGGTCACCCTACTCATAAAGGGCTTTACTTTTCTGTCTTAGTTTATGCTGCACAGCCAACCAAATCTCTGCTGCTGATGTTTAGTCTGGGTCTTTATCACACTGGCTATCCCCTGTTATGTGGTTGGCTCAGTTTTCTGTCTAATATAATATTTAACACGCAGTCTGACCCTGTCTGCCAAATAGTATACACTGTGATTGGCTGGATCCACTGTCTGTTATATAATCTGTGTGATGATTGGCTTTATCTTTTGTCTATTAGGGTGAAAGTAAGAGGCTAATGTCTGCTGCAGTGCGATATAAAAATACTGGATATTTCAGATCAAGCTTTGCCCGTCTATCTCTCTCTTTCTGACTCATCATCTCCTCCTGTCTTCTTCTCTGTCTGTGTCTCAGCCTGTCTTCCCCTGTCTCTGTCTGTACCTGTCTTTCTGTCTGTCTGTTCTCCGTTTGTCCCGGGGATCCTGCTGTCTGAGCAGCGGGATCCCAGTCTGAACAGTTTTCCTCCAGCTAAGCCCTGCTAACACCACACACACACACACACACACACACACACACACACACACACACACACACACACAGACACAGACTCACACAGCGCTATGACAAGCATATGGTTTTGAGTCTGCAGCAGCCAGCGGAAACTCTCTTTCTCTTGTCTGTCAGGTTATCTCTCTCTCGCCTTCTCTGTCTCCCTTAATCCAATTAAATCTAGTTTATTGAAAAAAAATCTAAAAAAACCCAACTGACTGGCTTGTGTGTGTGTTTTCAGTGTAAGTAACTCCAATCAATCAATCCAAACCCAACATGTCTAATGTAAATTTACACTGCTGCCAAAGCAAACAATACTTAAATTACACATTAAACCACTAACCATCGACATAATATATTACCAAATCAAACATAACATCTAGACAGCTATGATTTCAAGATAGTTTATTTATAGTTTTCTCGTTCATTGCCTTCGTTTGTAGTTATATAACTATCATCTCAAGCTCACATATGGAACACACACACACACACACACACACACACCCACAGAAAAAGATAGAGAAACACCCAGATACCCTATGTATTTGAATCTATATTATATTAAGCTTAATCCAAAATGCATTTTACAACCTGCATTTGCTCCATAAAGCCTGACTATAAACTTACTTAAGTGTATATATATTTGCTACTTTTTTCAAATTTGAGAGAGGTTCTACTCTATATAGTATATGTACTGACTCAGTTTTCAGTAATATGGTTATTTGATTCTGTCGATAACCTTGCAGTCTTCAGCGGGCCGTTCCTGTAATTTAATTATTATTACTTCCTGGGAAGATATCACTACATCTGCATGCTGCCATTATGATGTGTTGTTTCTGTGGTTTTAAGAGCGTTGTTCTTGGACTTTATTTCTAAAACTGAGACTGGGATTTGGTGGATGGAGAACTGCATGTCTGATTGAGACACTTTTTGAATACTTGCTGCATAGTTTTCCTTTTCATCTCTGCTGTATTCACGTTTCTTCTGAAAAATATTTTGTCACAGCTGCACTGTTTGCTGCCATCTGGGCATAAAAAGTATTTTGACAAGACTGCTGCAGCTGAAAGGTTGATCCAGTATTATGGAAATAATGGCATTTCAAGGTTGGACTTGAAGTATTGAAAGTATTTAGCTACAATTGTTGCGTCATACTGTTAATGTACAATATATGAAAGCACACAGGCTGTAAAAGCAGTAGGTTCTGGCAAGAATTGCCCATAAATACCAGGATGTCAGTCACTGGTACTCAACACTAATCGCCTATGAAGCATAGTGCAGGCTTGAGAAGAACACTCTGGCAGAGCTGCCATTTGTGCCTTTTTAAAGACATTCTCAGCATCCAGTGAGAGCACCACAGCTGCTTGTTTGTCTTGATGAGTCAGGTTAATTAACCACCTGGGGATGTCGGAAGTTGTTGACCTTCCAATTTGTTACGAATGAAGAAATTTGTGGATCATAGTTGGTTCTCTTGGACAACAACATAGATAGCAATTTAAGGTAAGCAGCAGATGCTCTGATCATATACCAATTACAGGCAAATGAGGTTGATTTGACACCAGTCATTAAATGTTTTCACAGGAAACTGAGAGATAAGAGTGACTGCCTCAGTACCTAAAGTAAAACCCACGTTGCAGTGTTTGAATCATGGACGTCTCAAGTCCCTCTTGGGAAGCTTGGCCCCATTAAAGCATTAGACTAAGTTTGTAGGGGGTGGCAAAAATTAATAATCAGTGATGTATTTAATTAATCATAACATTTTTCACCTACAATAGTAGTAAATTTCTCTGTACTCTGTAATAGTAGATCAATACAGTGCACACAGCATACTATAGATAGCAGCTTCATTATAGCAGTGGTTCTCAAACTTTTCCTGTCACGCCCCCCTTCAGAATCCAAAAGAAGTTCATGAACTCAGCAAAAGTGGATTTCCGTTTTATCAATCATTAACATCACAGGCAATTGAAATAAACAAGATTCAGGTTAGAAATATAGCCTTGCTAGCATTTGTTTATGTCACCAAATGAATCATTTTCATTCAACTTTAGGTCCGCTCAACATCCACGACCCCCCTGAAGTGGCTTTACGCCCCCCCCCCCAGTTTGAGAACTACTGCATTATAGAAGCCAACCAACACTTAGTGCAGGGCCTAATTGATATTGCACTTTGCTGGTGAAAATTCCCAAACAAATATGCAAGTAATTAAATTACCAAAAGCACCAAATAACACTGTGAATCTAGGGTTTTGGTGGCCCCTGGAAGTCTGGGGTCCGGGCCACTCTCTTTCTCTCTCAGCCTGTGGTCTTAGTTCTTGTTGTTCTTATTCTAAGAGAAGCTGTGTTTTACTGCAGCTCCTACTGCTCTGCTCCATCTATGGGTTTAATACTCCTGCTGTCCCACTGAGATCAAACACAGTCACCACCTCTCCTTCGTTAACCCCCTGTGATGACTGCCAGGAGCCTTTGGTCATTAGCCATTGCTCTATCACAGGATTTCTTACCTGGGTTTACTAGCCACACAGGCAGACTTTGTTTCATTAACAGCATTCGAAGAGTTTCCATAAAGCGGTGAGGGAGGGGATCAGGTTTTACTTCCACAGCATCTTCTACATTTACTTCACACTGGACAATACAACAAAAATACAACACAATATGTCTAAAATGATGTTTAAACATACTTACTTTTAGTGATTAAATATTCTGTATGTCGAAAGTAACACATAATATATGCAGTCAGACAATGAGCACCTAGCCGACTTGTTGCTATGCTGTTGAGCTCTTGTAAGCTCTTGTGTTTAAAACAGATGTAATTATCAAAATGTTACAAATACACATTTGAATTTGAACTATGGGCTATATGGATGTATATCTCACTTTACTTCACTGTCCCTTCGTTATTTAGAAAATGATTGGCCGAGGTTAAAAATTATGTGATGACTTTGATCATGTTATATGTAATCAGCTCCTTTATTTTTGTTCATGTTGTATGTATGAACAGAAAACTAAATGCATAGTATGCTTATATACCACATTTTTATAGCATTTGTGTGCAACATGAAAACATTCTGTTATAGCTGCTACATGTGAAGCTAGAAGTTTTCCCTTGCAGTTATGTTAGGACTTGCTTTTGTCAGTTACGCCTTAATGAAGCCAACATGCAAATCAAAGCAAATCTCCTTTGTCAGTTACAGTCTACACAATTACTTAGAAATTCTTTTTATCATAGTATTACAGTATATTTATGAAGGTCAACTCTGGTAAAATGAAGGAAAAGGAAGAAAAGGCAGAACGAAAACAGCCCACAATCATTTACAACAGTAAAAATAATCAAATGTGTTTTTTTTAATCAAACGTCCACCTAACACTTTCAAAAGATGTGTCATTCTGTCTTTGATGAAACAACCAGAGTGGCCAAAAATGTACAAGACAACCTTCCTATGCACTGGCGACATGTTCTGGTATTCATTAAAAATGGTGGTAGAGGCTTAACAAGCATAGGAGGCTTAACAAGGCTCTGGCTAGCAGCAGGACCCGACCTCATTAGGAGAGGCTTCTGAGGATCTCACTTATAGAGAGGATGTAGGGAATAGGTAAACGATGGATCACCTCAAAACAGAATTTACATGGTATTCCTAATCTCTTGTCATTTGAAGTCAGACATTTGTCTATTTAATAAGATATCTTGACAAATGATTGCCAGGTTTCCATGATAATATTTGATAAAAAATAGTGATGTGTCTCTTCTGCTTGCTTATTAGCTTGCTTAAATCAGATGTGTACATTATTATTTTAATATCCACAGCTGTGTTTTCCATGCTACGCTGTGATAAATGTCCCTTATGCAAATTTAACATGTTACAGCTCAGCTCCATACATTTAATATGTTTCGCCTACTGTATTTTAATAAAGGTTAGTTTTGTAGTCAGTTGATTTTGAGACAAGACTAGATTGAACAAGTTTAAATCCTACCATTCTGTGTGCACTGTGACACAGCAAAAAAAACAAATACTAGTACAGGGATTCGAGTGTCAAAATGAGGTTCGACTCAGGGGGCCTCTTCGCTCAAGTCAATTACCAAGCTAAAATGCTAAACTTTACTTAGTTTCAGCTTCTCAAATGTGAGGATTGGCTGCTTTTCTTTATTTTCATATAATTGTAAACTGAACATATTTGAGTTTTGGTCAGACAAAACACGACATAACCCTAAACTTTAGGAAATTATAATGGCCATTTTTCATATATTCTCTAATTTTTCAAATAAATCAATAATAAAAATATAACTGTTAGATGCAACCGTACTCTATGGCAGACCTAACTCTAGGAGGACACGTTGTTGGTGTGATGACATTACCATGTGCTGCTTTGGAATTGTTATTGGCTCATTTGCACTCCAACAATCACTGAATAGAGTGCCAGAATCACGTTATACCCGTTATACTGATCCAGGATCTGAGCTGTAACATACACCACAATTAGACACGCAGGTCAGGAAAGCCTCTAGTGCCAAAATTACTTCATAATGTCCTAATGTTGACCACCTGTCATATTTGTGTCCATATTGGTCTTGCTATTCAGTAAAAATAAACCAAAATCTGAATTGGACTGAAATCAAGACAAGCTTCATTGGCTCATGACTTTTCTGGTAAACCCCCAAACAGTTATTTTCTGACAATCTTGAGGTCAGTGTTTAGTATTCCTGTTACTGACGCCGCAGATTGCAGTTTTGAGTTTGCAGCAACTGCCTTTAGGTTGACAGCAGAAAGAAGCCACAGGGATTTGTTTTTAGGATGGACTCTCTCTGTGCTGATCCCCGCTGCTGTGATGGACAGAATAACGAGATAAGCTACCAGCTCTCTGATGGGCACGGACCTCCCCCTCCCTCTGCTTCCCCCCAGCTCACGCAGCTTGTAAACTTCAGAGCATTTTACCAGCAGAATGTTGCTAGGAAACCAGGAGGTGATTAAAATGACGTTCACTCCTAACACACACACACACACACACACACACACACACACACACACACACACACACACACACACACACACACACACACACACACACACACACACGCGCAGCAGCAGCAGCAGCCCTGGTCTTGTTAAACAGCTACTGCTCTCTTTCCATACACCATGGGAGACTTTTGGTTGTAAGTGTGTGTTGTGACAAACATCAAAGGGTATGTCCTGGTGTATATGTCTTATTCTAAAATGAAAAAACAATGCTGACTCAATTAAACATCACATACATTTTTATTACTCTTTGCCTTTAAAAAGTTATGTCACGGCCCAGAACATGGTTTCACTCTTCAATTTAAAGTTAAACGTGAAGCTAAAAAGATATTCTTATAGATTGTTGGGCATACTTTTGCCTAATCAGGCTCCCTTGGAACGGTGCCTATCTCCTCACCTTTTAAAAGGACCTTAATTGTTTCATACATAGTTATCCTTCAACTCTGGTAGACCCATCAGTAGGTCTATCATTAAAAACTCTGTGTGGACAAGTGCTGTCCAAACAAACAGAACCTTATTTTGAACAAAAGATGTGTATAAAAGACACACGTGGGACTTGCAAGAGACAGATTAATAAAACAAGGGTGGTTAAAATTGATGCAGCAGAGGCTGAGTTATATACCATATTTTACTATACCATATTTTGGTGTGTGGGTCAAGCTAAAAACAACAGTTCCTGTAATGCAACTCAGTTTAATTTTTCATCAGACTCTTCCTGTCTGGAAAACTTCCACACTTTTCAAACTCTGATCCCCCAGTTTGTAATGCAGGTATTCTGTCATAAATTAAACGTCTCAAAACCAATCTGATATTTGTTGTACTTCTACCTAAATGTAGAAGTACTTCCCATGTAGTACTTGTACATGATGAGTGAACTGATCTTCATTTGTAAAGATAATCAAATGCTCCTTTTCAAGCCACAGATTGAAAAGATCAAAGTTGAACGCCTACTTCACACTACATGATTTTAAGCCCGATTTGCTCAGCGACCGTTGGGCTGTGATCAGGGGTAAATCAGTCATTATGTGTGAACTACTCAATGATGCATCAAAACGACTCCCCGACACATCACTGACACATCGCAGACGCCAGCTAGATATCTAGCATGCCAAATCTCTGGAGGAGCCCTTCTTTACATCCACATCCAGCCAATGAGAGCAGGCAGCTGGCAGAACAGGCAGCTAATCTTTCATTGCAAAACACTATTTACTCACCTCCAGTGCTCTCTGTAGCTCAGACAATCCCTGTTGCGTCTGCTAATCCATTATTTCACCCATATTGTTTGGCTTTATAATTGCTATCTTTATAATAACAGTTTGCATCATTTCCTGTTTCACATTTTAATAACAACTATTGTTACTAGTCCTATTGTTATTATAATCATTAACATTACCATTATTGTCATTAACACTACTATAAATATCTGTACCATTTTTCATTTAGTCTATAGCAACATCACCTTTACTGTCTGTACCGCTGTGTGTATATTATGTAGGCTGCCTCCCTCCCCTCTCTCTCCTTCCATCTCTCTCTCTCTCTCTCTCTCTCTCTCTCTCTCTCTCTCTCTCTCTCTCTCTCTCTCTCTCTCTCTCTCCTCCTTCACCCCCAACCGGTCGAGGCAGATGGCCGCCCACCCTGAGCCATGGTTCTGCTCGAGGTTTCTGCCTCTTAAAAGGAAGTTTTTCCTTGCCTCTGTCGCCTAGTGCTTGCTCTTGGTGGGAACTGTTGGGTTTCTGTAAATAACATCACAGAGTACGGTCTAGACCTGCTCTTTTATGAAAAGCACTGTTAGATAACTGTTGTTGTGATTTGGCGCTATATAAATAAAATTGAATTGAATAGAATTTCACGTGTGTTTTCTTGTGGTTTTGTCCGCTCGGGTAGTGTGTGACCCCCTGTCTACTATCAGTCACGTAGTGTGAACACCACAACGACTTCAAGACTCCCGTCACAAGACAGCAAGTTGTGTAATCTGAACAGCACGGCGATCGGTGATCGGCGATTATGATATTTGCCCAACATTTGAGTCATGAACCGTGACGATGTTTTCCCCATCATCAACAACCATGTCAGAGGTCATTTCAGGAGGTTGGCCAGTGCTGGCAGGGAGGACAGGAGCCTCTTCATCATCTTGCCCACTAGGACACCAAATATACCAGGATTGGTAGTGACTAACTCTCCTGCAGCCCTGCAGTGGCACTTATGTCCCTAAAAATACTTCCTGCAGCTCACAGTAGACTAAACAGTGGAGTACCTGTGAGATGCTCACTGTGTTTTAGTGAACCTCCTTTGAAATTGTAGTCAGACCTCATTGTTGGGTCACTCAATTATGCATATTTTCGACAGTGTTTAAAGGCAGCAACTGTTTCTTGTCTCAGAAAGGATACTAAAGATGAGTGGCTGGTTCAGCCCATCTTTTATTTCAGGGTAGAGACAAATTATGCACCACAGTTGCCAGAGCGACATCGTCCAGCAGTCTGTAATAACCAGCTTTGTCAGGAAGTGCTCAAATGTTTTGGGGAAGCTCTTTGAAAGTGTGATTTATAAGCTACCAGTTACTTCCCATTGGAAGACCTACCGCAAAGACTCCCTGAAGCGAAATATAGTAAGGTTTATGTTAGTTGCTCAGAAAATGTAAGTTCATTCTGCTTTTTGAAAAGGGAAATGAGCTTTCTAGGCTGGAATTAAGGTGTGTGATTCATTAATTTATTTCACCATTTTCATTCATATGTTTCTATCTAATTTTGGAAATAGTAGTTAGTAGTCATTTAAAAACTCATGGTCCACTTACTAGCTTTGCATCACACCATCTTCATCAGATTATGTGTGTGATATAGTTGAAAGGTGCGGAAAAAGCTAGTAAGGGGACGCTGATCTCTCAAATTGCACACTTTCTTTGTTAATTTAATGTTGATTTTATGGTGTTTTGTCTTTCCCTTAGAATTTGAATGGAACTTCAGCCAGGACCTTTCGGCCATCTTGGTGAAACAGGAGGAGCCTGATGTGGTTCAAAGGTTAGATCCTCAGCCTCTTGAAGGCCCGCCTCTCATATTAAGCCCTGCCCCCCCACACAGAGGATCGCCATGGAAACACACGGTTAGCATCCGTCAGGCCTGTGTCTCAACAGTGAAACACCGCACGTTGCGTTGTTGTTGATGTTAACCGATCAGTTCGAAAGCAATGTTCTTCAGCATTGTTGTTGTTTATCTGTTTCTGTAGGAGCGCAGTCAAGACAGTGTGAAGCCAGTGGCCATAAAAGATGAACCCAGAGAGATTGGACAGTACCTCGGCCTGCCCAGCGGTACACACACACACACACACACACACACACACACACACACACACACACACACACACACACACACATCAGCACCCTTTTCCACCTAAAATAATACCATTGTTGCAAGCCCAGGTCAAATAAAACCAAACCTCAGGCTCAAAATAAGTCATTTTGTGGGATGTTGTTCCCCTGAACATGTTCCCATGCGCAGCTGTCTTAAGTCTTGACAAAATACGTCCGACCTAACTAAACTTAAACTAAAACAAACTATTTAACTTATAAAGGTTGTGTGGAGCACTATTCACTTAGCCTGGGAGCTGCAGAAACAGCCTTCAGAAGGTCCAGCTTTATATCTGCATCTCTTTATCTTTACACCAATAATCACAACAAAGAACTAGACAAATACAATGTTTTAGATTTCAGAATGAATCAGGTTTTAGTGGACCTGTTTTTTCAGCATCTCATGTGTAGCAGGTTGTTTCATTCAACACTCCTCTACTGTAGACGATGCTCTCCAGCTGCCGCCCACCCCTCCCAGTAGTAACCACGGCGACAGTGACGGCTCCCTCCCTCCCTCCTCCCCGCACCTCCCTCTGCTTCCGTCTTCCCCTCAAACACAACAGAGGCCAGGAGGCCGGGCCTCCTCCTCTTCCTCCTCCTCCTCTTCCTCAGCCATCTCTTCTTCACCTCTCCTCACTGCCCCACATGTGAGTAAAAGGACACCACTCACATCGGTCTGCCCCCCCTCTTTTTTCTTTTTTGTATCCATATTGACAATACAAGTGGCTGAATGAACTTATGGCATGCAACATTTTCATTTGTTCATTTTAGTTTTACAACAAATTGTGTCTATGGTCAAGAAATTATTTGAATCTAGGCTCAGCAAGGGATGGTCTTTAATTGTTCATGCCCCCAGTTTATATTTTGTTTAATTTTCTTGTGAGATTTATTATAAAACAATCAAATAGTTGCACCAAAATAGTCAAAAACATGCCTTTTGTGTGCGCCATACATTACAAAGGTGCATTTTGCCATATGGAGAGAATAACAATCAGGTCTCTGCACAAACGCTTAATTTTATAGTAGCTAGTAAGACTAAAAAGTCATTTTTTTCACCTTCACTTTATTCTGCATTATAAAATAAAGTTAAACGTATCGTATATAGTACAGTTAACCTAATATAATGCATGTTCAGCCCAAACCAACCTGTTCGTCTAAGGGGTGAAGTGAGAATATTACGGTCCTGAAGCCCCTATTTCTAATTCCACTTCTGATTTGGGCGAATGTAAAAAAAAGTCCCATTAACATATTAAGCTTGAAATCCAGGTTGAGGTATTAGTGGGAGTATTGTTTTTAGTATAAGGATATGATAATGTGTTAAATATATAATAGCTACAGATTATACATTATCATAGACGTTTATGAAATTGTGTACAGTAGTGTGTTAATTTCCTTTGTTTACTTGTAAATGTAGATAATTAATTTTGTCCTAACTGCCAATGTATAGTGGGGAACTTGTGTTTGTGTGTGAACCAGCTGTCATCGTGGGGTCAAATTAGTCCGATAATTTGCTGACTAATGGGGCCTATAATTAAATTCAATAAATTCAGTGTCTGGCCAATGTCTGTCTGATTCATCAGCTTTTCTCTGAACAAATGAATCACATTTGTACTGATGTCAGTAACAGCACTGTTCAACATGAGTGAAGAAAGAAGGATGTTTGAGAATTTGCTGTTTTCTTTACAGATTATTACAATGTCAGGTGTTTACAGCAAACTCAAACAGCTGACTCTGTGAAAGCATCAGGTCCACTATTTTTCTCTGTAATCTCTTTTCTCCAGTGAGTTTGAAAGCACGCCAACGTGAGTAATCACACACTGAACCTCTGGAGAATTTAGTGAATTAGTACATCTCTTTATGTAGAAGCTTGTTCAAAGGAAAAGCTGATGAGTCAGTTGTCTGCGGGGTTTATTTTAACATAAATAGTTTATAATGGTTGTAAACATACTGATGCAGTGTGTGTTTCATGGTGCAGAAGCTCCAGGGTTCAGGACCCCTCTTGCTGACAGAAGAAGAGAAGAGGACCCTGGTTGCAGAGGGTTACCCGGTACCTAACAAACTTCCTCTCACTAAGAGTGAAGAAAAGGCACTGAAGAGAGTCCGACGGAAGATTAAAAATAAGGTAAGAACGCTCATCTGATTTACCAAAAAATATCAGCTATTTACTGAATCGGTGACTTAGACCCTATTCTGAGAGAGAAGCAGAGCTGAAATAATCAGTTTAGTGGTGGCATTTTTCTGGCATCTATAAGCTCATGAAATCAAATCGATGATGAAACAGAAATATTAATATTGATGAACAAACAGGATTCAAAACATGTACGAAGGCTGCAAATAAGCTCCATCTGAGCACATTTATTTCAGTACCCAACCCTGAGAAAAGTTTGTAAAATCACTATTTAAACGTAAACGAGTAACCTGCTGATATTTTTCTGTTTTTTTACCCAGATCTCGGCTCAGGAGAGTCGGAGGAAGAAGAAGGAATATGTGGAATGTCTGGAGAAAAAGTAAGGCTTGGAAAAATGTCCCCATTTTTTCAGTCCTTTTCCACTCATTTTGGTTTACCTTTGTATCTGCCTGTCTTTTTGCATTTTCCAAACCCTTTTTTCCCCCCTCATTATAGTCCCATCAAACGGTATCAAAGTAACCATCCTACAGTATATCAGTGGACATAACTATAACCAGAGCTGTCAGATTTCCAGATGATTCAGAACACTTGAAGACACACACAACGGTTGATTAATTGATCTCTAATTAATCCAAAACTGAATTGATTCAAATTCTAGATGTTATTGGAAAGATTCCACAAATCTCAACCTCTGACTTTACCCTGCTGTTAGTGGCATAGTGACAGACGTTTGCTGATGTTTCTGTCACAAAATCTCATGAAAAGACCAAAACCAACAATGTGTTAAAGCCTCATTATGCATGCACTGAATCAGAACAAAATAACAGAATAAGTGTTGTACTTCAACCATTTCCATGCAAGTCCAAAAGCTGGTTACATAGTAATGTTAATGCAATGAATGAATACCTTTCTCTTCAAGTTTTCTGAGCCGTCTAACAATGTATTTAAAGTGGTGCATTTGGTCCAGAAGGCAGTCATGATGGCTGGCGAGTTGAATCTAACCATAGGCTTTTCTTACACATAATTGTGTGTTCTTTATGTGCACCACTGGCACAGAAAAAAACATAAAAATGCGACTGATAAAAAAGAGAGAGTTGTGTAACGCTGAAGTGAACTTGGCAGTTGAAGTTTAGTTAAGAGGCCGGTTTTGTATTTAGAGGTTTTCCCAGCTGCTTTTTAAGCTGAGTGTAGTAACAGATACACAAGCTCTGAAGGGAATTAAATTGTAGGCAGCAAACCAGCGAACGCCAGCAGAGTCACAGGTCCTTGTGGGGTCAGGTAGAAATGCCCAGATGAACACGTAATACTTACAGAATGGATTTCATCATCATAAGTTAACAGAAACTCCTTCCTCTCTTCTTTCCTTTGCTATCCTGGCCATTCCTTGATATGGCAGGACTCCAATAACCTGCTGAACACATGGGTCAGATTCCCTGACAGGGGGAGTGAAAGAGAGAGGGAAAATGTGGGCTGGCTTTGATGTCGCTTTCATAGCAAAAAGTAAACTGGTGCAGTCAGTTTATTAGTCCCCAAAGAGGTTCATACAGGTGGTAACCCTGTTAATCCCATTAGAGCAGAGAAAGTGGTGTGCTCTCTTGTGCTCTTTATATCCTCTTTGTGTTTATGTTTTTTTGGGGGGGACGTGAGGACAGGATTATTGGAGGAACCCTCAGAAAGAAAACAGCAGGACAACTTGCAAAAAAGGGATGTGTATGAATGAGCCGTATTCACACCGAACATAAGAGGAGATCAGGAGGATTATGAGCAACAAGAGTACAAGATTAAGGAGAGGTTTAGTTGATAATAGAGATCAATAGGATTAGCAGTTGATGACAGGGAGAAAAAAGAAACAGTGGGATGAGGGGGAGTTGGAAGGAGAACATCTTTCATGGCGCAAATCCATTTTTGAGTTATGTGCAATCTTATCTATAGGAGAATTTAAATGTGAAAATGAACTTAAAATGTCATATATGTTTCAGTTAAATAAAGTTAGTTTAATAAAAGATAGTGTGCCAAAAGATGGCATCACATTTTCTAAATAATTAAAGTATTCGTCCACTACAATCTTCACTGAAATAAGTATCGCCATCATGGTTGTACGATTGTTAATTCAATAAACATGATGTATCATGCATGTTGTATATCCACTCCATCCAAGGGTATACATTTCACATATTGGTTTATGCAGAGCATGGAAAGCATTAAATATGACTCATATTAGCTAAAAAAGAGTAATAGTTGTGTATCCATTACTAAAAAATACCAGTAAGTACTTTACAATGTGTGTCACCAACCACAAACTTAGCTTGACAGTTTGATGGTGTATAATAGAGTGAGATTAACCTGTTGAGCCACCAACAAATGTTTTTGGGCCCAACCTGTCGCATCCGAGGTCCAGTTAAGTCCAGAGCACACAGCAGACTACACATGGCAGCTTCATTCAATGCCTACAGACCCATAAACCAACCAGTGCTCAAACGCTGGAATAATCTTACCTGGCCCAGGTTTTATGTGTCACTTTATAAAACACATTTACAAAGGGAAATATACCATGAAAGCACAATATAAACTGTAAAGAAGGCACTGCCTTGGTTCATATTATACTTGAGTGGTACAAATTTCCATTAAAAAAACTCGAATTAATCAAATTATGTGTAACTAAGTGACACAGTGAAGTGTAGGCTTTTGGGACGCTTGGAGGTCTGGGACCCTGTGGCAGTTGCCCACTTTGCGCCGTTGCTAATTCAGCCTTGATAAATGGAGCTATGGACCTGCAGTGAAGCCTCACACTGGTCTGTTCCGTCACTGTGTATGTTTGCTTCCTCAAAGGAAGAAAATGATGAAATCAGAGCTCAAGTTGTGTGTCCATCTCTGTGTGTGTGTGTGTGTGTGTGTGTGTGTGTGTCTGTGTCTGTGTCTGTATGTTATCAGGGTGGAGGGCTACACGTCAGAAAACAGCGACCTGTGGAGAAAAGTAGAAAACCTGGAGACCGCCAACAGGTAAGCCTCGCACACACACAGACACACACACACACTGGCTGACATTAGTGTCTTCTTGCTGTTGTGTCTCTGAACAGACTAAAGCTGTTGTGCGCTGGCTCCGAACACTAATCACGCAGACTCAACATTCTCGTAATGATGTTTGGATTATCATCACCAAAAACAGCAACAAGATGGCAAAGAATGTAGCTTGATAAGCCGGGAGTTGAATGATCTGTGTAGCAGCAGGGCCGGAGAAACTGACGCTCATTTTTCTTTAATCTTTCTTGGACAAATAAATAACAGTTATTATAACTGCAGGAAGGAAAAGTTGGACTCAGCTGCAGTCATGTAGTCTTCAAAGGCTAAAGCACTCCACTGTAGGTTATACATACTAGTATTTATGCTCTGTATGTAAAAAACTTTAGTCTGCAGTTTATATGCAGGGTGTTACACTGAGACAATTATAGGAGTCTGAAAAGAAATTTGTCTGCCTCACCCAGCTCCGTTTGTCTCCTCTGTTATTATAACAATATGAAACCAATCTGCTATTATCCTGGAGTGGGTGGGTAGGTAATGTGGGGTATAGGGCTGATGGATGGTGGTAGTGGGGGGGTCTGTCTCTACGTCTGTCTGTCTGTGGCAGCCTCAGCCTGTCATTAAAGCTGCGAGTTAACAGTAGCTTTCATCATGGAAGGCAACCCCCTCCCTTCCCACAACACACACACACACACACACTGATGAATATGTTAAACCACCACACAGAGGAACAATGAGTTGGCACAATCTGGGGAACATGAGTCAGCACGCTCACTCTCACATAAAGTCCAGAGTATGTGCAGGTCAAAAAAACCCAACTTGACTAAATTTAAGCTGCTAGTTCCTAAAAATGTCCCAAATGCAGTTATTAGTGGTCATTTTGTTCTCCATGCAGTGGTTTGTCTTCACTGCATGAACACTCACACACAAGTGGGTTAGTGCTACTGGTTTATTAGCTGTACAATGTAGCCAGATGCTCAAACATGGACTTTCCATATTTGTTTATGAGTCAGATCAGAACATTGATAATAACTTCGCCTCTTATGTGTGCAGTGCATGTACAAGCTCCCAATATGTCAACCAGCATGTCATTTGGAAGAACTGTGTATTTAAATCAGCAATAACTTTAGCAGTACATCACTGTGGTTTTATATCAAAGTCCTGTGTGAGGGATGCTGGTCAGTATCATCCCATATAAGTTTATTACAGCTGGCAACTCGCAGTTTAATCGTACAATCTGGTGCATGTCACAGACTTCAGCATGGAAACATTAGATGTACCAACAGGCCGACTCACTGCTTAGTATATCCCACCATGAGCATCTGACTGACAGATTGACCAGTTTTATTGTCTGGTTTGGTTTCTAACTTATTAAATTACTAACTCGCTGGGGGGCTGGTTCACAGTGTGTTCAGCAGTAACCGTCTCTCTGTCTCCACTAAGTGGTCAGAGTGTGTCCTCACAGCCACTGACAGCTCATACCATCACAACCCTGCTCTCCAGATCCCATTAATATACTGTTTTATAGTGGTTTTACTGTTTTTTTCTACCCAACTCTACTCTTTATGTACTATGGCTACCTGACAAACAGGCAACAGGAAATCAGGTGGATAAAGTTTACTTTAATGTACAATCAACCAAATACTGAGAACCATACAAGATGTGGGAATGAAGACGCTGTGGACACAAACATGTCCATTCATGGGGGTTTTCCTGCCCTGAGTTTAACCTCTCAGGCTCTGCACAAATCATTAGACTCAAACTCCAACAAAGGTTCTAATCCTAACCTTGACCAGCTGTAAGACAATATCAAAATACCCCTGCATCCTCTCTTTTCTTTCTGTTTCTCTCTCTTTAGGTCTCTCCTACAGCAGCTCCAGAAGCTTCAGTCACTGGTTTCAGGGAAAGTTGTCCCCCGCTCTTGTAAAATGGCCTCAACTCAAACAGGGACATGCCTCATGGTAAATATTGTTGTTATTATGAAGCTCTTCATGCACATACATTCTGATATTTGTGTCATTAAAGTGAGTTTATTTACAGCTGGACAGTGTATAATCAAATGTTACATTCAAGAGAATCTATTTAATTAGACTCTAACCTCTTTGTTTCCCCTTAAGTTGTTTTAAGGTTGTAAAATGAATCTAATGTACGTATATTCTGTATCATCTTGTTCCAGCTCTTCCATTGAAGCTCTGTGAAAGTGTCCATTTAAAAAAATTATTCTATACACAATATCCCTAAAATTCATTCTGAAATATTTTGTGTTTGGAAACTTATTTTTCCACATTTTTATTGAAGTTCTGGTGGTTTGGAGCAACGTTTTGCTGCACAACATATGTTTGTAATGACTGGCTGACCGGTGGCTTGCTGCTTGTTGAGTTGGGATTAAATTCAAGAAATTGTTTTGTTTTTCATTTCAAATCGTAAATACTTTTCTTCTGGTCCCTGGAAATGCATAATAGTCCTATTAAGCTATAGTTCAAGCTGTATACATGTATATTGTAAACATGTGGTGACAACTGTGGACAGTTTTGCCTTTCTATAAATTAAAGAAACAGTAAAGTTTGACATTTTTGTTATATGTGGATCTTATTATCTTATCTTAGATACCATAAAAGCACTCAATTACGTGAAAGGTCTTATGTATTTGCAAACATCTGTAAATAATTCTAAAATAATTACCTTTAGCTATTCATTCATGTTATGTTTCTTCATGTTATCTCCTGAACTGTACGCCTTTCCTTTTAAGATTATTTATTAACATGTTTTCTTCCTCTCTCTCTTTGCAGATGATGGCCGTGTGTTTTGTCCTGGTGTTGGGCTCCTTCTCTCCCTGCCTCTCCCCCCTCTCCTTCCTCGCTGACAACCCATCTTTGTCCTCATCCTCCTCTTCCTCTAATCCCTCCTCCTCTCCACCTCTTCCGTCAGCGGACCTCTACGCCACCAGTCAGGGTAGGTCTGTAAATATGTGACCTAATATTCAGCATTATTATAGAAATGGTCATGGTATTGTGGTTACGGTTTTTAATGCACCCATAAACTTTCCTTTTGTACTTCCCCTTGGCTCACAAGGATAAAACTAAAAGCCCAAAGATTCATCATAAAAATAATAAAACAAGTTTATAGAGTGCAACAGTCTATAATACAGATCACAAAATGCTTTTTTGCAAAGTTATTTCTCTCAGTGACAACTTGTAAAGAGGACAAAAGTATTCACTTTCATTCTTAGGCGCATTCCTCTTCACTATAAATTCACTCTCTTCAATCGTGTACTGTTGGGAAACCCCTTTTGAAACCAGAAGTTAGGCTGTCATCACGTTAAGTACCACTCCTTTGTGCCAACAACCATCCTCTTGAGTGGTAAGCGAAAAAGTCTGCCAGACTGACTGTACCCATCAGGGGCTGAAATCCTACCCTGCGAGTGGCTCCTAGCGGCTACAGGGTTCACAACAACATAACATACAAGTAATAAAGTACAATTGTGTGACAGTGTCATTCATTTCATTTCTTGTGTACAAGTGGTGAGTTTGGAAAGATGGTTGTGAGTGAGAAAATGTCATCGGGCCACTAAAATCATCATTATTCTTTACATCACCAGCTAATTTCTGTTTGTGTCAATGTACTTTGTGATGACACAAGATGTCGGTCAAGAGGGAATTTGACCTGACTGTAAATATCCAAAGTAAATGTCACAGAAACAGGGCCAGTAGCTGCAGGCATTTCTTTCATTTTAATCTTCGGAAAAGGGGAATTCCCTTTAATGACATGGTGCCTGATAGCAATACCTCCACAAAAGCTACCCTAATATTCCCATTAGGTTATGGACTCCAAAGTTACAAAGAATTTACAGTCCACAAAATTAATGATTTTGCAGTAAACCAGTATGTGTTTATTGTGTGCATTGCAGTCCGTTCGCGCAGCCTGCTCTTCTACAACGAAGGGGCTCCACTGGAGGAGAGTTTAGCGTCATCAGAAGGGGAGAGGCTACAGTCAGAAGGCCAGTCCCACATCCAGACCAGCCGATACACAGCTGACGCACACGGCAACCGGACAACTCGGCCCAAGTTAGACCAGAGGTAGAAAAATATATTTATGTAATCTTTTTATTTCAAAAACTTACTGTCCTCTCAACATTAACAAAGTGCCTCTTCTCTCCTCAGAGAAACAAAACCAGACGGAGCCTCTGAGTTTTTCTGACACCGCTTGACCCCTAAAAAGCCCATAACCTCCAGATTCCTGAACTCAGCGGGCTTCATATCATCATCCAACTAGACCACAATCTACAGTCAGTCAGTTGACCAACATCCCTTTTGTCTACATGGCACTTCACTTCTCTGCTTAAACAGACTCTGCTATACCTGAATATACTTGATTTTAAAGGGACCATCTTATTTGAATTTCCATTTTTATTCAAATTAAGTATAATTTTAAATATCCAACTAATCTATTCATGTTTAATTTAAACAATCATGAATAATATTTTGTAGTTCACAATAAAAACATAAGGCCTTAATTAAAGAACCACTAGACTGTATATGGGAACTTCCAGAACACAAACTAGTCAGACCATTGCCAAGAAGAGAGGCAGATATGAGCCAGTTAAGTTGTGATGATGGGAACAGACCTAAAACGGTTTATTAGCAGCCTTTGGCTTCCAGGATCGTCCTGTCACAATAAATGTTGCATTGCCAATTAGAGAGAAAGCAAGAGCAAGGAAAGAGCTTTATGGAAAATGTGGTTTTAATGTTGAGAGAAAAACTGAATGATACAGTTTGCACCTTTTCACACCTTGTGAACATAAATACACATATATATGTAAACGTGGCAGACCTTTACCGTGGGATTGTAGTTCATGTTAGCACAGTGCTCGCGTTTTACCTCCTAGGCAGGGCTTTCATTTTAACCAATCACCATCATCATATGTTGATAAAGGGCTGCAACTAACAATTATTTTGATTATAGATTAAACTTTCTGTAATGTTTTTGATTAATCAATTAATTGCTTAGTCCACAAAATGTCAGGAAAAAAAAAAAAGCCTGTCCTAGTTTCAAAGAGTATAAGATGACATCTTCAAATGTCTTGTTTTGTCCAAAATCCAAAGATATTTAGTTTACAATTGCTTGGTAACTGACTTAATTCATTAATCAGTTATCAGAATAGTTGATTAATTTTCTGTCAATCAACTGATCATTTCAGCTCTGTGTTACAGTACATAATTAGTGAATACAACACTCGTTGCTACTAACATGTTAGAAAACTAGACACTCTAGTGTGAAAATAAACACATCCTTTTTAAGATAAAGCTGTGCTGTTTTAAAAGTGCCTTCCACTCACTTCAGTCAAATATTACCAACTTGGCCTTACACCTAAAGGCCACACATGCAACTATGAAGCTGGAAACATTCACTCTAAAAAATCAGGCTGTTTCAGGCTTTTTGAGGCCCTGAGTGAGACATTTCTTTTAACTGACCATGAACTGGGTGAACGCTCAGGAGGTCTTTCATTTCACATTGCTGTGGAAGTAGTTTGGAGGAAAAGCAGTAAGAGCGTAGCGGCTTTACCTTTTGCCACGAGCTGCCTCAGTTTGAACTACTCCCACAACAGTTGTGTAATGTGTGAAATTAACAGTTACACACAACATGTTTGATTATTCCATTTTTGAAGTTAAAATGACTGAAATTCTTTATCACTTTGGGGGGAAACCATATTTTCACATCAAGGGACTGTTAAATGGGTCCTGACAGAGGTTGAGAAATATGACATAAAAGTATTTTTATGGAATTAAAAACTGTATATGTAATATATTTGCAGCATAAAAAAATTTGCATATTGAATTTATGCAACAAAAAAATAAATACTGAACGTTTAAGATTAGTTTATCTTATCGTCTTGTTTTTCTAAATAACGTTTACAAAAATAACACAAAAACACAACTTATAATATATTCTGAGCATCAAAAAAAGAGCATATTTATTTTATGCACAAAAAAAAGGGAATCGTATGTTATGTGTTTCGGCATTTAGGATGATGCGAAGTTTTACATTATGGCGTGTAGTTCACAAGCCGTTTCATGGAGTGTGAAACTTTGACATGATCTGTTTGTGTCTTTAACTGTAATACAGTGTTTTATGTTTCACTGCTGTCGCGTGAAAACCGCAGGCCTTTTCTGTTCAGGAATTAAAACTGCCATTTGCTTTGTACAATTGAACCTTAAAAAAAATTTTTACCCTTCAAAAAACAAAATACAGTTAATCACCAACCACAGTAAAATTTAAAAATAATTTCTGTCATAAACTCATCCTGTGAGCTCATACCTAGCAGCGGAGGAAATATCGATAACTCATGCGACAGCAGTGTATGTTGTATTTATTCCTGTTTTGTAGAAAGTGTGTATATATTCGTGAAGCCAATCAGGGACTAATACATTCCAGGAAGTACTAGCTTTGTTATCGCCACAATTTGAAGGAACATCAGGACATTTACAAAAAGTCTTCATTCCTTTACCACTATTCTGACAATGTGAGAAAACCCCCACAATGTTGCGCCTGAAAATGACAATTTTAAACGTCACGGTATTCCTTCAAATTAAAAGCTATGAAACAGACATTTAACTGTCCCAGTCAAAATCCTTGATGAAGTAATTACTTATAAAAACACTCAAATCCTATTTTCATCTCCAAAACATTACAATTAACACAGATGTTCTGTTCTTCTTATTTCTCTGTTTTATTTTGTGTCCCTCATGAATACACAAACTGCAGCCCATTGCACAAACCCTGTCATTCTCACCCGTAACAGTCTTAATGCACCCGTGTACATAAACAATGACAACTTAATGTGCAGTTGTTGTAAATAAGGGCCTCGTTTTTGTATTGTGACATAGTCCAAGATTTTAACCTGTGGAATCATGTGGGAAAGTGAAAAAATATATATATGAGAAAATCAGTGGATATTTGGGGAAGGAAGATGTAAAGTGGGGAGGGATTTAAAAAAAATTTAAATAAAGGAGGGTGACTTTTTCCACTTGTAAAGAAACCTGGATAACACTGCAGCTGCACACAGTTTGAATAGTTGTAAAACACCAAGGGCTTCATTATTATGAATGTTTGAGAGAGAATAATCAAGCACTTTCCAGGGAGTTCAGTTATTTGAAATGTGTTTGGGTGTAATGTTGTCTTGGCTTGTTGTATAGCGTCTTGCATGTTCCTCCATATACAACTATGTTATCTTAGTGTAGTCAGTAGAGTAGAAACAAGCAAAATATTAAAAAACTGCATCAGCAACGCTGTGTCCGTCATCTCTCTTGCTTGAAATGTAACTTTTACATCATTCATTTGCTTTTCTGTGGTCCCAGTTTTAATATGAGTCTTGATTCCACTTTGACCTCGACAGCAGTTTAGCTGAAGTGTTTGAGTATGAGCTGTTTTCGGAGCTCCTCTGCCTGGCTGTCGCGGTCCTCAGGTCTCTGTTCGAGGCTCTCGGGCTGCTCCAGAGGGTCGGTTCTCTCCAGAGTCCAGGCGTCTAACCCGGACTGCAGGGAGGCGTTGTGAAGAACACAGCAGGCCAGTAGGATGGATGAACTCCTCTCTGGAGAATACTGTAGAGAGGAGATATGACAAGATAAAGAGATGAAGGTCGGCCTGTTGTTATTCGGTTTATTGTCACAAAAGCAGAGTAAAACTTGAATATTTGATTTTAGCTTAGCTGGCCATGGTGATAGGGCAACAGCACTTCCTCTTTGGATGCCCAAAATAAAAATGCATAAATTTAATTGATTTGAAAATTCAAGTAAACTGATTAATGTGTTTTTAACTGGGGTATACTGGGGTATTATCTCAGATTTAATTACCAGTGTCATACAGGAGGCTGATGAAGATAAAGGTCTGCTTAAAAAATCTGATCTTGTTGAACTGCCCTGGGAACCTTCTACTAAAGGTTAATGTACCTTAAACATTTTCAAAGATTAACTAAACTCTGGAGGAGAGAATGATACTTAATTACTTTCTGGACAACCTAATCCTTTTCTTTCTTTTTAAAAACTGAATGAGGGAATCTTTTTCTTTGTTTGCTACAATTCATTCACATCCCAAACTGTAATATATATTGGTATATATTTTACACCAATAATTGAGTCCAGTTAAGTCCAAACTCTTCTTTATTGGATGTGATTGACAAATACAATTTGGACTCATACATTCATATTATTCTGGCCAGTGTGGTGCAGCTTTTCCCCTTGTAAAACAATCAATGACTTTACATTTAGTTTTTTTTGTAACTTAAATCAATCAAGAGGCTGAGTTCCTGATTCAGTGTAAATACAAATGAATAAACTGTACTTAATTTGTAGTTGGGTCTGAGTTCTTTTTGGATCAGAAACCATCAAGAATGTGTAAAAACAAAAGCTAAATGCATTCTGTTATGTTTATGGAAATTCATGTGTTTGATTTATAGAACAACAATCATCACTGATGATCAGATTCCTAATATTCGTAATATTCCACACTAGAATAGAATAGAAATGAGCCTGCTAGAACAGATTAAAATAGGATAGGATAGAACTGAGTAGAGTAGGAAAAGATAAACTAGAGAAGGATTGAATAGAGTAGAGTAGGGTAGAGTACCTGTAGGTATCCTTTGGTGCCGTCCAAACACCTGAATCTGGTCTGGATGGCTCTGAAGGTTCTGTCCACTATCTCGTGTGTAGCAGTGTGGGCCAGATTATATCGAAGCTCTGCCGGGGATTCTGGGCAGTCGACCGGGGTCATCAACCACTTCTTTAGCGGGTACCGACGGTCACCTGTGAAAAAGAAATCAGGAAAAGGACTTCACTCCTTTTCTGGACATTTTCAGACTTTACAAAATTACGTAGGGAGACTGAAATCCAGGTCTCACCCAGCAGCCAGCCCTCCTCAATCTCCTGCAGCTGTTTGTAGAGAGCAGATCTTTCTAGAACCTCGTTGTCTTTGAGTCCACCTGGCCAGTGGGTTTCTGCGCTGAGTAACAATCCTCTGGCATTACAAACCAGCTGACAGCCCACAGAGTGAAACCCCTTTTTGTTCACATATGACGAGTCTTCACTGTTTGGGGCTTTGATGGTCACCTGGAGACGAAGGGGAAAGAATATAGAGGACGGACGAATCAGTTAGGCTGTCACCTGAAGATATAGTGTTTAAAGGTTTTAATGTAATATAATAAACCTGAACGCAGTCCAGCACCCCCAGAACTCCTGGGAATCCTGCCACCCTCTGAAACTCCTCAAAGGACTGCTCTCTGTTGGAGGGACCTCTGTTTGGAAACATTGTTATTGTGCTTTTACTTGCTCTTTTTTAATATTGCTTGCTATTGTTTTTAATATTTTGAATTAAGCTTAATTTATGCTTCTTGCCTCTCCATAGTTATCTCACTGCAGAGATCAATGGGGTTTTTGTGAATGGACAGTTTATTGGCAATATACTACAATAATCACCATTTTATTTAATAATACTTTAAAAAAATCATCAATTACTGTGAATGACTCATTTACATTAACAAAAAGTTGTATGTTTTGATAAAACAAGTACAGGAGGAGGTGTGACGTGGTATTTCTTCTTCACCAATTTACTAATAATCAGTTGTTTAATCTAGTTATGTGCCTGGAACTTATAACACAAATGGGGTCGGCCCAGGTGAACTAAAACTCTCCTTTGCTGGAAGGTAATGGGGATTTGGGGAGAGTAGCATGATATCATACCCGATGAACGTGATGAACTGGGGAGCCTTCTCCACCAGGGCTCTGGTCACATTGGACACACATCTCGACATTGATGCCTGGCTGATCCCTATAGTATCTCCCATAGATGTCTGGAACGAGCCAGATGTGTAGAAACCCAAAGCAGCCAACACCTGGACCTCAGGACTGATGGCTCTGGACCGCTGGGTACGTCTACAGAGAGCCTAACACACAGAATTAGATACAGATTTTTAGAAAGGCATTTGGAAGAAATACTAAATTGCATGTGATTATTCAAAACAGAGGATCAACACATATTCACCTCTCTGAGTAATTCCACCAGATACAGGATGAACTCTCTGGGGAAGCCAAATTGTGTGAGGAGGAAATTGTCTGAGACAGAGTCCAGGTCAAAGCGGTCCAGGGTCTTGTGGCCTCGACCATGTAAGAGTAGATCACAGTCCAAGATGGCTATAGGGATTGCCATGCTGTGGGTAAAAATACATATAAATGAATAAATAAAGTAATTAAAGTAAAGTATTTTCATGTTAACTTGGAGACCTCACTTGCTAATTTGTAATGGAAACAGTTGCTAGTGGAGGGTTAAATACACAATAGTGATAAATAATGTTTTACTGTTAATGCAGAAGACAGCATTTTCATTTCAAGGTAGAAAAGCACTGTATATATGGTCTAAATGGCTTACTTTGGTCCAAATTTGGTTTGGCTTTGGTTTAAGCAACGTGAATGTATTGTAATGTATTGTGTGAATATTCACACATATAGTAGTTGTAGTTTATTCACCTTTACTCAACAAATATTTGTATTCGGTAAGTTCAAACCATTAAATATAATTTTTAGATGCAATGGCAAAATTAGTCTGCTGGAATAATTTCTAAACACACAATACTCAAATTACTTCAACTAAAGAGATTGTCTACAAAAGAGTTTGTCACTGCTGAAAGTGGTTTACAATCACTGTTTCGAGTTTTTATATGCATCTCTAATGGGTTGGCTATAGGAATAGGATGTTTGATCAATAAATAACGTTAATTTACACAAAACACAATCATTTCCACAAATACTTTTTTAATGTAACGTATCATTAATTTGTACACCCCATTAATGCTGGAATCCACCAATTTTGTATAAATTACTTTGAAAGTATATATTTCCCATAGTTATTATAACAGTTACCTCTTATTGCAGGGCCAATATAGCCCTGGCCTGTGTGGAAGGTTTGACTGACATTATCGACAGTCATTCCTGTTGTAGTTGAATGAAGTCAAGTCAACGTGCTAACTAGCTAACTAGCGTTTGAGCTTTCCTACTTTTTGCTAAAGTAGGCGTCCGTGTGGAGACGACTCTAACGTTGTTAACACACGTAGCTGAATATCTGTTAAACGAACATTAAAACATAATAAATGTAGAATGCATTACTAAGGAAAGGACCTTACCTTTACAAAAAAAATCATGCAGCATTTATCAACCAAAACAAGCCACAGGAACACATAACTTTTCATGCACATTCGCAGATTCGACACAGTAAGTGGCAAATGTGTTTATGTTGCTACAGATTATCATTTTATAGTGAAACATTGTCGTTTCGTTGCTCACAAAAATCGACTTTGTTTTGTATAGTCCTGCCTAAGTGTGTTGTCTTGTTTTGTCTTGACTGTATATTTTACAGACGTTCACGAAACATATCAGCGAAAGTACCGTTGCGAGTGTGCTGCTATCCAAAATGATCCAAACACGTCGACATGGAGAAGATAAACAGAAAAGTAGCACAGCCGCTGTTGACGTTGTGTACATCTGAACTGGGCGTGTAAATGTTTAAGAAACGCAGCGCTGCGTGACATCTTTATTCAGCTGATTCGTATTTTGTTGAAGCTACCGTGTTGAAGGAGAAGCTAATGTAAGTGTTGCTGTTTTGTAATGAAATGAAAGTGCGTGGTATTTAGCCAGCTAGCTAACATTAGCCATCGGCTAAAGCTAGTTGGGCAGTGAGTCGACTGTCCGGTGCCTGTGCCTCCTCTTTCTGAACCGTAAACGTTAAGTAATTATCGGTCAAATGATGATGTTGTATTTTTTTTTTATTTACCAGGTGGTGTAGTGTATAGTGTAAAGTGGTTGTCAGTGTCTTTAGTTTAACGTGACCTCAAATTCGGACAGTTTCACGTCAACGCGGAGGCCTCACCTGCTGACTTGTAATAGAAACATTTGCTACGTGAAGTGTTAAAAAGCAAAACAATAGTGATAAAAAATAGTGATAAGTGTTTTACTGTTAATACAGAAGCCAGAATTCTCATTGCAAGGTAGAAAAGCACTGTATATATGTGGTCAAAATTGCTTAATTTTTTCCAAATTTGGCTTTGCTTTCGTTTAAGAAATGTTACGTTAAAGAGTAAATGTAACGTTAGTGTGTGAATATTCACACATATTGTAGTTGTTATGTATTCCCCTTTACAGAGTAAATATTTGTATTTGGTAAGTTCAAACTATTAAATATAATTTTTTGATGCTGTGGCAAAATTAGTCTGCTGGAATAATTCTTACACTCACAATATTCAAATTACTTTAACTAAACAGATTTTCTTCAAAAGAGTTTTTCACAGCTGAAAGTAGTTTACAATCACTGTTTCCCGTCCTATCCATCTGTAATGGTTTGACTTGTTTGATTGCAGGGTCTTGACAACATGGACAGTGGCCTGAGTCCCCAGGATAAAAAAGACTTGGACAAGTTCATTAAGTTCTTTGCCTTGAAGGTAAGAAGCTGGAAGGCTGGCATTCATCTTAGTTGGTTTGTTTCCCAAACATGTTCTCACGTACCTCCAGTGGTATCTGCCAATGCAGATAGTTTTGGTTTAATTTGTCCAGGTACTTGTCTCTAATATATCTTCCACACCATTACAATGGAGATATATTTTTAGTTGTGGTGCTCACAGTATTGAAAAATTATGTTTAACATAATCAACAACCATTTTTCATGTCTTTTCCCAAACGATGTTGCTGTTGCTCTTCATAAGTTTCTGCGCAAGCTGTTGAGAGTTTGTTTTTTTATTTCCTGTTTGTAGACTGTCCAGGTGATTGTCCAAGCTCGTCTTGGAGAGAAGATATGCACTCGCTCGTCCTCCTCACCTACTGGCTCTGATTGGGTAAAATAATTTTGTCATTCTTTTACCTTTTGCTTTGTGATGATTGGTTGAATGTACAGTTCACTGTTGATCTCTACAATGTAGTAAGTAGTTTGGATTGTTGGTCTAAGTTAACATTTAAATAATTTGTGTTATAATTTTCTTGTAGTTTAATTTGGCCATCAAAGACATCCCAGAGGTGACTCATGAAGCCAAGAAGGCACTGGCCGGGCAACTTCCAGGCATTGGACGTTCCATGTGTGTTGAGATCTCCCTAAAGACGTCTGAGGTAAAATCTCCCTCAACCTCTCCTGCTGTCCATTTTCTTCTTTTGTAAAATGACTTTTCACTTTTCACCCACAAGACTTGAAACTGTGCAGGGACTTCAGCTCTGTTGAAATGTAACAATTGACTACTTCAGGCAAAGAATACATAAATGTACACAATGGCACTAGAGTTCCATACATTTGAACAGTAAACAGACCATTAATTAACCTGTTTGTTTGTAAATCTTTCAGTCCAACTTAATGTCCCTAAATTGATCTTTTTGTTTCTCTTTCTCATTTAGGGTGACTCAATGGAGTTAGAGACTTGGTGTCTGGAGATGAATGAAAAGTAAGTGGGTTTTGCTCTCAGTTGGGTTTTTAATTGGTTATGAAAATTAAGAAGTGTATCAGTGCTGCGAGCTTGTCTGTGCCTCTGTAAAGTTGAGCAAGCGAATAAAGGAGAAGCACAAAAATGAAATCACAGCTAGCAGTTTTAATAAAGAGTGCTCATACTGACAACATGTGTCAGCTGCTTTAAGTTATAAATGGGTTACTTTGTTTCTATTTCTGTGACATTTTATAGTTGTATCACATCTCATGTTTCACATTTGGTGAACTGCTTTTAAACTTTTGTTCCTGCTAGAGATGAAGTGAGCATTGGATTATTTCTGGAAGAGTTGAGCATGTACAGCTGATTCTAATCAATAGTTAAATATAAAGTTTGTGGGTGTATATGTCTATATAATTTTAATAAGTACATTTTAGGCAGTTACTAAAGTGCTGCCATTAAAAGATTTGTATCTCTTAATGGCAGCTTTGTATCTCTTAAATAAAAGTGTCTGTCTTGTGGGATTACATCAGACTTTTTTTCTGGACAGACAGTTTTATTTAGAAGGATGTAAGAAAGCAAAAAACAGAAAAAAGCTGCAAACAACAGCTACCATGTCCAAAATGTAATTAACTGCTGAGATATTTAATTATTCAGTTGCATTTGAAATATCACCACACTGCTGAATTAAACTTATTGTGTTGTCTGTCTCTACTTGGAGGTGTGATAAGGACATCAAGGTGTCGTATACAGTCTACAATCGTCTGTCTGTCCTTCTGAAATCTCTGCTGGCCATCACCAGAGTAACACCGGCCTATAAACTGTCTAGAAAGCAGGGACACGACTATGTCATATTATACAGGTGAGTTGACTCCAGGCTACACCAGCTTTGATCCGTCTCCAGTCTGTCTGCAAACAGCTGATCCGGTTTGTGTTTTCAGTCTAATCAACTAAACCTCCTTTTTTATCAGGTCTACAGGAACATTTGTCGTGGTTTTCGTTCTAGTCTGTTACATGTATTGATGTATGACATATGTTTCTACCTGTTTCTACCTCTCTCATGCCTAGGATTTACTTTGGGGAAGTCCAGTTGGGTGGATTAGGGGAAGGTAAACTAAACTCTTTTCTTTGCTGACATGTCTTAAATCACTGAAAATGGCTCAGGAAAGACTTTGGTCTAAAAGCAACAGGAACCACAACAAAGCAAAGGTTTTACACTGTGATGTACTTACAGTATGTGTAAAACCTTATAGGTTAAGGTTCCAAAGGACTTATGAAAAAATTATTTTCCAGTTATTTATTCCTGAAAAGAAATGGAGTTTAATTATGTCTCCTTTGCCACGTAAAAAAGTTCCTGAACTGGTCAGGAAAACAATGTAATATTAATTATATGCTTTTAATAGTCTCAGATCACATCTAAACATAATATAAAACACAAAATATAGGATTTAACATGAAGTGAAAGTTATAACTCATGTAATAAGTGCATTTGAAAATTTGTATTCTTGTTTACTGAGGGTTTGTTGTTTGTTTGTTTAGGTTTCCAAACAGTGCGTGTCGGTGTTGTTGGCACCCCTGTTGGCACAGTCACACTTTCATGTGCTTACCGCACAAACCTGGCATTCATGTCCAACAGGTAATTGACACACTACGTATAAAACAACGGTCTTATTACAAAGAAAATTATAATTTGCTTATTTTAATTTGGAACATTTGTTGATATTACATAACATTTTAATAATGGAAGCAATGCTTATGTATTTAAAAGATTTTGCTTTAGTGCTTCACTACTCTGTTGTCTAAACAAGTCAAAACTGAGCATAGCTAACTGTTGAAATGTCGTCTTCTGCAGACAGTTTGAGCGCACGGCTCCTATCATGGGGATCATTGTGGATCACTTTGTGGATCCTCCCTGCAGCAGCCAGCGTCCTGCAAACATGGGACACCCCTGCAACTACAGGTAGCTACAGAAAGCTGTGAAAATGAAAGGAACCTATCATTTTAAGATGAAAATGCTGACGTTATCTGCCCACAGCTCCACTCCCCCAAGTTAAACGACCACCAAACACACAGTCGAGTCTTAGCGTTGCCACAAACAATCAAGAGCTTTTAGTTGACGCAATTCCTCCTTTTGGAGGTCACACTGGATACATCAGCTCTTGGTGACTTTGTTTGCCTTTTTAAACTTTATTTCTGTTTGGATTTTAGGTTGCCTAAAAATAACTTAATTTAGTGCACAGACCCTGCCTCAGATCTGTTTATCTTTCTATAATATAAAAAACTGTGTATGCATTCTTTAAAGAAAAAATATAAAGGTTGAATGTGTTTGTGTCTTCAGAGCTCCGATGACGAGGACGGAGGCCCGTTTGCAGGGGTTCAGGACTCGCAAGAAGTCTGCACCACCTCCTTCTCCACCTCCCCTCCCTCTCAGGTAAGAGGACGCGCACACCTGCTCCTCTTTACGGTCTCTTTTTTTATCTTGTGACTTCCTCTCTTCATTTTCATACCTGCTTTTCTCTCTTTTTTCTTACCTGTTGTCCTTTTATTGTATGTTTACCTGCGTATGTGTCTGTGTCTGCAATAACTCAGTGTGTGTGTACACTGAGTCCCTCGCCCTCTAAACTGTCTAAGCCCCTCCCACTGGACAGTCTGCAGCTTCCATTGGCTCCGGGACTTGTCACTCACAATGTGAGTCTTTACTGGCCACTGTGAGAGTGTGACTGTGTGTGATTCACCTTGAAACTGCACTGAATCACTCAGATTTCTCATTTGCTTTGGGGTGTGTGCTGCACCTTAGTGTGTCAGAGCTGCATCAGAAACCTTTTTTTTGTGTAAAGGTCCATCACATATTTCAGCGCAGAACTTAATGCACTGTTGCTCCTGTTTGCTGTATATGCTCACTAGATCTGCTTCATCATTATGTTTTATCATCTCGGCAGTTGTAAACCATCTTGAGCACGACTCTAATTAACGCTCCAACGTTAAACCTTAAATCTAACATTCCTTCTGTCTCTGCAGCTGTATGCTTCCAGGATATCTTATCAGCCTCCAGCTCTAGCAGGAGCCGCTGAGCTTTGTCACCCTGTTGCCAATCAAAACCAGGTGATACACCAATCAGTTCATGCCATTTTCATAGTGACCTGACGAATAAATCAGTTTGGCTGATATTATTGACTGATTTTCACATATACACAGACATATACAGATACATTTGTGACATGTCGCCCAGTAGGTATCAATTATTAACAACTTATCAACTATTTTTAACTAATCTTACAAATTAAATAACAAAGTTAATTCATCACATTGTTGAAGAGTGAAACAAAACTCTCATACGGACATGAAGCACTCATGCTCGTCGATTTGCAACATGCCCTACACTCTCCTAATATAACCAGAGATATTTAAGGAATAGACACCTTTGGATGAATGAGGTGGCAATCTCTGATGGCTGACAAATTCATATCATCATCCAAACAGACCGTTAAATACATAGTTTGTCCACCAGAGAACACTGACAAGCTTATTTATTACATTTTTCATGTCCTACTCTGTCTTAAAAAACTAATATTGACAGATATATTGTTAGCAGATAAAAAACTCATATCAACATCTGGTTTAAAACTCCAATATTAGTCAAGATAAAAACATACACAGTACATGATAACTACTAATACACGGAGCTACTGCATACCATAAGAAGAGCTGTGCATCAATAAGATGGTTCATTTATTTTTCTCAGAATTTTCTGTTTAGTTCTTTAGTCTACTATAACTCTTTTACTCCTCCTCAGGTGTTGCATGCTGGGAAGGAGGGCGGGGTTGTTTTGGTTCCTGCCCACCCTCCTCATGGAGCCGATGCCAATCTGACAGCAGAGCACTCCTCCAACACGCCTGGCAGCAGGTAAATCTCTCCTCAGCATCTTCATATCGAGCAACTTTTTTTTTTTTTTTTTTTTTTTTTTAAGCATAAACCTCCCCATACTCTGAAAAGTGTCTTCAGGTCTTCATTTGAACTTGATTAAATTTCGAGTAACTTCGTGTCATCATCTCTCTCCCCAGTGGCGACGACGACGGCCTGTCGCAGAGTGGAGAAGCAAGGAAGGATGAAGGGAGGAGTGTTTCTCCCTCTGACCCTGTGGAGTCTCTCAATGCTTTTACAAGGAAAATCGGAGCCTTCGTCAGTAAACCCAGTGCACAGGTAAATCTGATCTGACACGCACACGCGGAGGTCTGCTTATGCTGTGACTTGATGATTTGAAACGCATGAACTTAACAAAAACACTCATGTTTGCATTGCTTAAAGAGTACACTGAATTTAGCTGTGTGTGCGTGTGTAGATAACAGCAGCCAGTCTTGACCTGCCATTCGCTGCATTTGCTCCCCGAGGCCTGGACTCAGAGGAGAATGATCCCATGGTAACTTACTGTGCTGATGATGATACAGCAATATCTTTTCTCATCCAGTAGAATACTTTGCTTGCTGTCATTAAATGGACAATATGTTAAAAGTACTCGTTTTAGGTTGACACAAGTTTTCTACTGATGGGATATTTTGAATGTGTGTGTGTTTAGGTGCAGCCTCCAGACTCTCCTCCTTGCCCGTCACCCCTTCAGGCCAGCCTCCATTCTCAGGGGTCAGAGGGGTCGGGGCAGCAGGACGACTTTGTCATGGTTGACTTTGTATGTAACTATTGCTGTATTCTATACATATCGTACATACTAGATTTTATGTATTACATTATTTAGATTTGTATATTGTTTATGATATATATTTTATATCTCCAGCGTTGCATAGAATAATTTATTGACATCTGTGCAGTTGGTGTGTGTGTGTGTGTGTGTGTGTGTGTGTGTGTGTGTGTGTGTGTTTTATAGTTCTGCCCACACACGAGAATATATTAAATTCTAGGCATTAACTTTCGGTCTAAATTACTACTGAAAATACAAAATAAATAAAAGTTAATAGTCTTAAGATTATCCTTCTTTTTTTTTTTCCAGACCTGTAAAATCAGTTTGTGTAAAGATAGGTCTTTTGTGGCCAACTGACATTTGCTATTTATTCTCAACTGGAGGAGAATATTGATACCACTGTCACGTGTGTTTGCTAAATATGAAGCTACAGATGTTTAGCTTAGCTTAGCTCCACCTACCAGCCCTTTTACAGTGCTTTTAATTAACATGTCCCATCTTGTTTAATCTGTACAAAAAACACAGCATAAAAAGTGCTGCTAAGTTATGTGCTGGACTGTATAATGAAATGTTAATTAGTGAGCGTCAGAGGGGCTGGCTGGCGTATGTGTATAAATGCTCTTCTCATCCAGTTAACGGCAAAAAGCAAACGAGCATATTGCTCAAAACTATTCCTTTTATTTATTTTTTTAAACATTTTAATTAATTCTGCAAGTGTCAGTGAAGTTTAAACATCGTCTTTCTCTACCTGTCTGCAGCGCCCAGCCTTCTCGAAAGACGACTTGTTGCCGATGGATCTGGGCACTTTCTACAGAGAGTTTCAAAACCCTCCTCAGCTAACCAGTCTCTCACTACACATCAGCTCCCAGTCGATGGCCGATGACCTGGTAATATGCTTCTTTTAAACTAGGGGGGAATTCCATAACAAACTTCTCACTGTAAAACTTAATGCAAATTAGTAGTAACAGGGATTTGTATTGTCTGTCTGCAGGACTCACTGCCAGAGAAGCTGGCCGTTTATGAGAAAAACATGGACGAGTTTGACGCTTTTGTGGACATGCTCCAGTAGAGAATGAGTGATAAAGGACTACATGTGTGAAAAGACTAAATGGCAAATGAAACTAAATCGTGTTTCAATGTGAAACTCCACGTTTCCTCTCTTACCTTCCTGTCCAGCATGTACACCTCGCTTACCAGTTTGTACAGATCGTCCTCTTCACTGTAAATACTGTATCTTCCTCCTTGACACTGGCATACAACCTTCTCTGGTCTGGTAGTGTTAATTTAAACTAAAATCTTTATTTTCTATGTGGCACAAATCCGTTCTATTCGTCAAGTGTTTAATCAGGAAATCAGATCATCATGTGACAGCCATGCAATTTAAGGACAGACTACCTGTTGATGCACCCTGCTGAACACTACTAGCCTCTGAAGGTTTCCTCTACATCATCGCCCTTCTGATCATATGAAGCTAAAGGTGAAAGTAAAATGCACTTAGCCTTACAGTGGATACTAGAGTGTTGTAATTAAGAAATGTCCAGCTTTGTTCTTACGACAGTCTTGTTTCAGAAGCAGTTGCTCAAAGGCACCTTGAAAGTGACAGGCCTCATTTATTTACCCTAGCCTGGTGTTCCCAGCTGGTCTGGGGATTTAAACTGCCAACTTCAATGTTCAAAAATGACCTCGGTGGAATTTAAAGTGATTTAACTGCTGACTTGTTGTGGAACTACACTCAGTTGTCACGTTATATAACAGTCCTGCAATAAATTCTATGTTCATAAAGGTTCAACTGTTTATGGTCATTTGAGGCTGTTGAATTGTGTTATACTGAGTTGTTTGTAATATTTGTCTGCTTGTTTAACAGTCTCACTGGCCACAAGCTAAAACATCAAACGACACAAACCCTTTCAACAAAAACTGACGACCTCCATGAAGGCAGGATTTGCTGCTGGGCTGCCATTAGACTGCACTAGTTTTAGCTACCTAATACAGTGTGGCAACTGAGTGCATTTTCCTTAGGCTGTACAACGTGCATATGTATATTTTGGGGTTTTGTAAAAGTTCGATTTCCAGCTGTCTACAGAAGACACCAGGCAACTATCCATGACTGTTTGAAAGCTTTAAGCTTTTATTTGCTGTTGGTCTAGATGTCCTAATAAAAGCATGGCTGCTCTGTTGAAACAACTGCTGTCTGTCATACCTGCGGCCTCATGCAGAAATTATGTATACACCATTAGAGGCACAGTTTTTGAATGAGCTAGGCCATTTTTCCACTGCTTACGGTAAACTAATCTATTGGCTTTTTGACTCTAGCTTCTTATTTAAACAGACAAGTATTTACAAAAACCTGTGGTACCGCTCTTTTAATCCAAGTTAAGCCAATTTAATGATTTTAGCTTCCAATGATAATGAAAACGAGAAGTCTCAATGCTCTCGTTTAGACTTCCTTTTGAGAGCCCGATCTTTTGGGCTCTCAAACGGCTCTTCATATAGTACTACTTCTACTGGTCACAGCCTAAAATTACATTTTGCCGCGAGAAATCAATACGTAAGACTCTTCCTCTTAAATACATTTAAAGCCCCCTCCAGCCAGTTGTAACTGTCGTTTTTGGTTAACTGTCTTTCTCAAACAGAATGGGGGTGTGGTTAATAGTCGTACGTATACATTACCATGACAACCAGAAACTGACCGGCTGGAGTGTTCACAAACGATATGCTGTGTTATCACTACACAGTAAAGTTTAGTACGCTTTACTGTCTGGCAGGAGTAGCTATTACTTACCCATCATAGAAACTAATGTGCGAGTATCAGCTGTTATACAGTGGATGGTCCTGTCACGCACTGCACACGATGACTCCCACTACGTTTTATGGTGCGCTTACTTTACCGCGAGGGTGTGGGGGTTCTACTCTGTTCAACTGTATGTAGACTTCTGCTACCATTGCCTCCGCCGATGCATTGGTAAAACGGCTGTCAGTAAAATGCATATTGCAGACTGTATGTAAGACGTTGGCAGGTGAAAGTGCGACGCATTTTGTCATCTGTCCAACACCGCACGCACAAATGCCATAATGAAAATGTACAGCACACTAAAAGAAAAAAAATAAACGACCCTCTGTTAGCTAGCATAGTTATTGCAGAAAGTTGGCCAACTACAACTTGTTTAACTTGGGTAACTAAGCAAGACAAACCTGACAGACATACCTAATGTAAGTTCTAAGTAAGTTACATGATAAATTTGTTAGCTAGCTCACAACGATGTTTATCGGTTTGATGCTGAATTAACGAGGCATGACAGTGCGCCTGCGCAAGTTTGGAGAATGACGTATGGAATTACTATAGTCATACGTCACAACCGTTTTAACAAGTTAAGCTAACTGAGCACAAAATTAAGCAGTTTGTCAAATTTGGCTATGTGGGTAATCACTAAGGAAATTACTCAAAATGAAATCAGAAATGTCAAATACACTGGGGGGGGGGCTTTAAATATGTCATATTGCTGTTAAAAAATACATACAATCAAAATAACTATCCCATTTCTATAACCAATAATAAAATGCTAAAATAATTGCACTCTTAAGATGCCGTTTAAAATGTTAGGTTACCGTTTTGTATTTCTTGGCAATGCATATATTTAACATTGTGATAAATACATTTATGAAATCCAGAACTGAATCAAATAAGGACCAATTAATCAGAATTCAAGAATGGAATTTTATTGTTGGTAGTTTCTGGAAGTCCATCACATACCTGCAGAGCAGCAAAGGGTCAAAACCATAAAGTTAAGATTATCATGGTAGCACGCATTTTACAAGTACTCTACTATTCATGTTCCTTCAACTTTGCTATGTGACCAACTACAAATCATTGCTCTTCTTCTGAGAGCCCCTTAACACTGCTACTTAAAGGGCTGAGAACCATTCAGCAAACATTTCATATTCAGTCTCGTTTCATTTCCCACAAAAGAGCTATCTGGAAGGCTATGGAGGAACGCTGCTTAAATCAAATGTCAACTCTCCCAGACGACGACGTAAATTTCCTAACTATTTATATTTTCTAGAGTTAGCCACTTAACATGCCATTAACTTTTGAAACATAGCCTCATGAGCTGTGGCAGACAGAGGCTCCCCATTCCCCCCCAGGTAACACTGGGAACGAGAAAAGAAATAAAATAAAAATACAACCAAAAAAATTCACAGGAAACAGGCAGAGACCGCCCAGTGTGCATGTCCACCTCATTCAATTGCTCAGTCCACTAGAATTGTCCTTTCCCAATTTCCCCCCACTATGGCCCCTCTGAGCCCGACTGTCCAATGAGTTTGTGTTGGGCAATGTGGAGAATGAGTCCCTCTGGGCACAGCGAGACAAGTCGAACATCAGGGAATGGTTGGAAACAAAACGTCCAGATAGAAAACATAACTATGATAAGACAGGGACGACTGACACTTTACTCTCGTTCCCACTTCCTTAGATACAGGGTGAAAGTCTTTGAGGTGGATGGCCAATGTCCTCCATTGTTATAAATATCCAACATGCCCCTCCGACTCCCAGTCAGCTGAATGTAGGTGGCGTTATATAGGAGTGGGGCAGAGGGGTGTGGATGGGGTGAAGCTGGCGTCCATACACACTACAGATCAGAGCAGGAGGAAGAAGAGGGAGTGTATGGAGAAGATCCAGGAGCTCAACTTTTCTTCATGGGCTTTTTAAAGAGCAGAGAGGTGACCTCTGGTTCAGGCAGTATTCAGTAGGTCCTGTATGGCTTTCTGCTGTGTCTCGTTCAGTGTCGATACACACTGCGTCCATAACCCCGCTGACACCTGGAGGACACAAAAAGATCAACCTGGATATTGATTTATGTCCACAGAAAATCCTACACAATACATGTAATTTCATTTAACAGTGATTTTGATGAAGTCCAGATGTAGATTCTTGTGTACAGCGACGAGTGAAGGCTCACCTGTACTTGACGGATTACATTTGCCAGCCGTTTGCTGCACGCGTCTTCACTCTTCACTGACTCGTTTGCAACTCCGTCTGCGATGATTAGGAAGATTTTAGGAAGGTTGGCGTTGTCTGGTCCGAGGACAATGGGGTTGTTGCTGCGGAGAAAAGACATCAGTCAGCAAGTGTGAAAAAAAATATAATTAGTTTTTACATCCCTTTCCACCTCAATTAAGACAAATTAGCGGAGGCTGCCTTACCTTTCAATGAGGTCACACAAGAAGTCAAATGTGTGGACTGCCTCCTCTTTGTCCTCGTTAAGCGGTAGCCAGCTGAGCCAATGGGGAAGGATCTCGTTGACATTTACACACTCTGGCCGAAACCTCATGACCTTTCCAACAGCAGAGATGCAGTTTTCTGTGGCGTTGACATTCTCCTTGGCACGCGAGTCAGCTGCCTGGATGACTCTGACCAACATGGGGATGGCCTCTGGACCACAGAAACACAAAGATGTTGTTTGAGTTCTAGCAAAAAACTGCCAATCACAACAAATTGAGACTAGAGCCAGGCCATACCTGTACAGAATGGGCGGTAGCTCTCTCCCCCATACTGAGCCATGACACCAACACCGTAGGCGGCCGCCTGCCGAACCTCGGGGCTCGTGTCACACAGTGACTGCAACATCGGCCGTAGGAAATACTCTGCGTATTTGAAGGAGGTGGGGCTGCAGTGCTCCACCACATCGTCAAAGATGCACAGACCCCACTGCCTGTCAGCCCACGGCCTGTTGGGACACTGAAGACAAGCAGGGCCAGTTTAGACAGTATGAACTCTAAATTTAAAGAGACCTCCTTGGGTTCTGGGAAATGGTAATTGTCATTTTTTTAAGGCAGATAACTGACAAAATAATTAAGGGACAAATCAAAACAATTGGAAGATTAATTCTGAATTAAATTAGCAATAAGTTGCAGCCCTACAAGCGTCACAAAGGTAGTGTTCATTGCCAGGCTGCTGTATTGGACCACATTTACTAACTGAACAGCTCAAATTTCCCATAAAAATTTTTAAAGAGTCTTTGAGTTAAATATATAAAATCCCCCATGATATTCTATAAATTCCACATTGTTCCCAAATGGGTGTACAAACAAAATCTACCTACTGTCTACCTATGTAAATTAATTTTACATCTGATGTGATTGGGCTGTTCAAGACATTTTGACACCATCTAGTGGCCCTTCACTTCAAGTCCAATAAATAAAAAGGTAAACTGACTACATGGAGAATAAATCATGTGCAGAACTGCGTTCAATATTTGTACAAACATGATTAATTCATTGCTGATCTGACAGCAGAAGTACTTACTATTAGCTGTACGATGAGCTGCAGCAGCTGTTCAAACCAAGGCAACACCTTCTCTTTGTAGCTGCTGAACACGGAGTGCAGGATATCTGACACTTTGGTCAGGATGTACACATCGTTCTCATCCTGTAGAGATAAAAATAAGTGGGCACACATTATGTGAGTGAGATTTTAGACAATAGCAGGTTTTCATAACCGCTCCAAGTCCTTTACTGGAGGGAAAATAATTACCTCGTCTTGTAATGATTCCTCCACCTGCTCATCATAATCCTCATCCTGTCTCTTAGCTGTGGAGGACAAAGAAGTTTTCTGTGACAATTGTGCAGAGACACTCATTGGGGAGAGTGTATTGTCATGGGAGGAAATCATGGGAGGTTAAAGCTTTGTCTGAGGATTGTGACAAATAACTGTGCCCGAGCTCGATTTGGAAATTTTGTTTACATCAAGGGAAATGCCGTACTAGAAAAGTAAAAAAAAAGTTTGAACGAAGTCTCACCATGTCTGAGCTCCTGGTTCTTAAAATGCTCCTCTAGTTTTCCTTTCAAGATGCCACCCAGCTCCTCAAAATGCTCATTGTTCAGACAGCCATCTCCCATCAACTCAATGCACTTGAACAGAACATAGAAATCAGTCAGGTCAGTAACTGGACCTGGTTCCTAAAATCTTATGTTCAAATCTTCAGGGAACATGTGAGGGGGGAAAAAAAAAACAACCCCCCCCCCAAAAACAAGTTACCTTGGCAAAAGAGTGCATGATCTCTGACAGGACGTCAGAGTCTGGCTCAGTGCCGATGGCCTTGATGAGGGCGTCGCACATGAAGAGCCACATCTGGGTGAGGTACTCTGGCCCTCGGACCCGCGCACACTCCAGCAGCAGGGGCATG